AGATCGGTATTTTCAAAAATCCAGGATCTGGATTTAGGTTAGTAAGCTGAACAGGATTCTGATTCTGAATCCAGAAAAATCCAAGATGATCAAAAAATGCCTGGATCCTCATTCTGGATAAAGGAAAATCCAGACTGGATCCAGATCCAGACCGATCTTTAATTGGAATTATTAAAAAAGTTCTATGACAATGATAATTGTAAAAAATATTAAAAAAAAATATTTATAAAAAAATTTTTTAATATTAAAAATAATTTATAAAATTTGGGGAAATAATTTTTTTGCAAACACCTCTAAAAATAATTAAATATGCAAATGAAAAGCTTAAAAAATATACACACCAAAAATACACACCAAAAATATAGATACACTACACACATTTTTAGATTAATCATCTCATAATTATAGAGGAAAAAGGGAGGTGAATGAAGTATTTTATTAATAAAAATTTTTTTCAAGGGGTTCTCTCGACCCTCTCCTTACTAACAAAAATTTTTAAATTAATGTTTGGAGGTCCATTCAAACATAAAATTTTTTTGAATGTCCACTCTCTTTTTAAAGGCCCCAAAAATATATTTTTAATATACTTTCTGACTTTCCACTTTAAAAATCTAAATATATCCTTTCATCATCCACTCAAAAACAAAACACAAAAACCCTTCTTAAATTGACAGGACACTTTCACCCTTTCCAGTTCCCCTTACATCTTTTTTACTTTACCGAATCATCAACCTCCAAAAATAAATATTTGTCTAAACCTGCTCAATATTATTTTATTTTTTTAGTCTTTTAAAAATACCGACAAATACATATTAAATGAAAAATACTTAAACTAATCGAAGAAAAATATTGGCCTAAAAATATTGGCTTGAAAAATAATCGAAAGCTTAAAATGAAAAAAACAGACTTGATCATAGATATATATAGATTATTTTGGTATCCGAATATGGGATAAGGCGTATATCCCCAGGTCTTTTGAAATTATCTGTATCCATCCCCGTATCCATGAACAAGTCTGATTAAAAATATGAAATTTTAAAAATTAAAACTTAAAAAAATTGAAAAAATGAGAAAAATTTTTCAAAAAAGCTTCCTTTACCGAAGTTTAAAAAAAATAACAATTTTCATTAAAAAACTCAAAAATAAATTCACAAAATTATTTCACAATACTAGAATTTACATTTAATCAAAAACAAAAAATATTTTTCTATAAAGTAGCACAAACCTAATACCTAGTTGGTACATGTTTTTACTATCTAGAATTAACATGTAAAAATATTTAAATCACTTAAAACATTACAAGTCACAAAATAAAAATTTATTTAAGATAGGCATTGTAAAAAAATATGAAAGTGTACAAATAAAATCATGAAAAATAATTTTGAAAAATATTATTTAAAAATAATTTTTTCAACAAATTTAAAAAAAAATAAAAAAATAAATTTTTTGAATATTTAATGCACAGACATAGACCGTTAAAAAATAAAATTTTTTTCCTTCCAACTATTTTAGTATATAGAGCTTATCTACAAAAGATCTCTTCTATCTCACTTCTGTCCACCTAAGTTTTGACCCAAAAAATCTCCCCAAAAATCATTCATCAATCTTGCCTCCATCTAACCTACCTGCCTAACGAAACCAGAAAGAAATTTTTGAGTTTGAAACGGGCCAATTCATAAACTAAAAAATCTATCTAGACCTTCGTCGTTCCATCAATCACCTACACTAGACAACCCCTTCCCCTTCATCCACCCTTTCCATATCGTTTAATAGGAGGGGGATAAATGCACAAAAATACTATTTAGATATATAATTTACACAATTTTGAAGGCCACAAGTATAACAAAAAGGTAGGTAGGTAAAGAGATGGCTCAACTCAAAAGATTAAAAATCCCCCAAAAGATCAATATCGGTCAAAGAATTTAGTGAAAAAATAAATAATTATGAGTTGGTCAAATATAAAAAAATGTTAAATAAAAATTTTAAATAAAAATTCAAGATTGAGAAAAATTGAAAAAAATTTGGTTTAAAAGCATAAATAAAAAAAGGTAATTTAAAACACATAAAGAAACAAAATAAAATTGAATAAACACCCACAGGTATCGAACTTTACCCTAACTCTCCTCTTTAACCTAACAGAGCCAAACACACTCACCACTACACCACACCGCTAACTTAACAAATTAAACTAACATAAGCTTAAGAAAAATAAAATAAAACTTGAAATAAAACTTAGCAACTTCAAGAAAAGTCTCGCTTCACAAAACAAAATATAAACAAAAAAAAATGTCAAAAAAGGAAGTAAAATATATTTAAAAATAAAATGAAAACAAATTAAATTAAAAAACAAACTTATTTTTCTCCCCAAAGTCTAGCAAAAAATAACAAAAAATTTTATTTTAAAAAATAACACCCCACAACAACTGTGCTTTCAAGGGAATATTTTATTTCCCCGCAACTCGAAAAAAAAAATAAAAGTGTGAATTAATGTTTTTATATAAAATACACCTAAATAATGTCAAGAAAAAGAGGTGCAAATAAATAATAAAAAAATTTTTGGACACACAGGATATACTTAAAAATACTTCCCCCCCCAAAATGTATGTGTAAGTGTGTGGACAAGACGAGGATATCCATCCCCTCTCTTTTGTCCCCAATTTTGCTTCTTCTCTCTTTTCTTTTTTATACAAATCCTCTCTTCAAAAGCAACAAAAAAAAGAAAGGTGGGTATAACAAATATAATTTTTTTTCGCAAGAAAATTTGAGAAGAGCTGCTGCTAGTACACAAAAACGACCACCCAAGAGATACGACGAATTATATTTAATGGACTTTTTAGCTGCTGCTACTAATATATTTTGTGAAAAAGGAGGAAGAAAAAAGTAAAGAGAGAATTTGTAAGAAAAAAGGTAACAAAATAAAAAAAAAAGAAAAATTTGTTAGAAAAAAAAAGAAGAGAAATGAATGGATTTTAAGAAGATATTTTGAGAGATTATTCCAAAAAAATTTAAACAAAAAAATTACAAAATATTAAAGAAAAAAATTACAGAAATCCTAATCTTGTAAATCCTAAAAACAAGCACGAAATTGTCAGCAAGGTAACAATTAAATAAATTTCTTAACAGACTCACCTCTTCTAAATTAACATAAATCCCAACCGACCCTTTCCCAGTTATAACAGTCCCCCCTTAAGCAGAAAAAAATTTACAAAATCAAAAAAAATAAATTAAATAAAGAATAAAGAAATTTTGAAAAATTAAATATTGCCAAAAAAGAAAATTTGAAAAAAATAGAAAAATGATGCACGAGACAGAAAAAATATAATAATTACAAATATAAATTTTTAAAAATTTCCCCATTAAAAATAAACCAAAAAACCCATAGCTGTGCGCGATAAGAAAATTTTTTTACAAAAAAATTTAAACAAAAAAGAGTCAATAATATTTTTTATCGTTTTTTAAAAAAATATTTTCCTTTCAGCCCACTTCTATCTGTTAAATGACTGCAATCACACAAATATTCATCAGAAAATCGTGGAGGTTCATTGGAAGAATAAACACCCGGCACTTCGACGTACTAATTTTTTTATTTTTTTAAATTTAAAATTGCCGAAAAAAAATTTTTTAAGGTGCAAAAAATATCCCAAGTGGTCAAAATAATTTTTTAAACAAAAAAACGTATTTTAAAAAAGTTTAACCAGAAAAGGATTCGAACCGAGTATCTACCCATGGGCAAATCGCAAACCTATCCCACTAAACTAAATTACCACTAACATAACAAAATCCAAGAAAATTTTTTTCAAATTGTCAAAAAAAAATTTTCAAATGGTCAAAAATATTTTTTAGGCAAAAATTTTGATATTTTAAAAGTTTTGACTGAAATGGATTCGAACCTGGGACCTATAGTATTTAACCACCAAACGTTTCCTACAACACTACCAATCGTCCCTAACGAGCCAAAATAGGAGTGAATTCTCTTCAAAATTTAATGAACCTTCACCCTATATAAATTAAAAAAAATTTTCCAATCGCCAAAAAATTTTTTTTCTTATGGCGCACAGCCATAAAATATTCAAAAAAATTAATAAACCCACTTTGCTAACAGTTGCCTGTGCAGGATAAAGCAATTCATCTGATCTCCTCAACAAATCCATAAAATATTCTTGGATAGCAGCACACGGTCCTTGATGTGTTACAATTAGAATATCACCTAAAAATTAATTTAAATAATTTTTAAACTTTAAAATTAAAAAAATAAACCTTCACATATTTTCAACAATTGTTTTAAAGTATGCTTGACTCGATTAAAACATGCACGTACTGTTGCGCTTGAATCAAACTAAAAAAAGATTTTTTTTGAAAATTTTTAGAAAGAAATAATTGAAAGGATGGGATGAATCTTTGAATTTTTTTGAAAATTTTGGAAGGCAAAAGGCCATATTTCTTCCTTACGTTGAAAATAGAGATCGAATTTTTTGAGAAGTCATGGGCCGGAATGTTCCTGGACTCTTGGGTTTGATTTATTGGCCTGAGCCGGATCATGGGCCTGTGGCACAGGAAAACTCAGAAAGATCAAAAAATGCCTGTGCTTGGATCCGGGTACAGGAAAAACCCATGCCTTGGTGCAGACCCATCTCGATCTAGTGGGAAAAGTTAAAAGAAAATGTATGGGATTTGGGCCGAAAAAAGAGAATCCGCAAGTTATGTCGGCTAAAATGGAAGACCAAATCATCCGTTTTGGAAATGTAACTATGCGCAGTAAAGCCGTGAGACAAGTTTGACAAAAGACACACGACGAGCATTATGTATTTTAATAAAAACTAGAGATCGTCCTGGGTCTGAACTAAGGCCTTGGTTTTTCCTATAACTGGAGTCCTAGCATTTTTTGACCCTCCTGGGGTTTTCCAGGACTACATCAAACCCAGAACAGGCCCAGGCTTTTCAAAAATACCGAACTCTAATTAAAAACTCTGGTCCTTCCAAAAAATACCCAAAATCTCAACCTAATCAAAAACTTGAAAAAACCAAACCTCTTCCTCTGCTGGTGAAAGATATAACGGCTTATAGCGTAAATTGATATTCGGATATCTTGCAGCCAATTCTTTATCTTTTTCATACGTCGGCCGCTTCTCTCCAGACTCCCTAACTAAAAAACCGGCCTTAAAACAAAATTAATAAACTTTTAAAACTTTAAAAAAAACCTCCAAAAAACCAGGTTCAACATTTATTAAGCAATTTGAGCGGCCTTCTAATATTTTAGCTGAGGTTTGTATACATCGCTCGTATGGAGAAGAAAAGCAATAATCGATGTGTATGTTCTTAAATCTTAAAATAGAATATTATTGATTAGGGTAAAGATAGGGTAGAGTTCTCCTAAAGTAGAAAACAAAAAGATGGTTTTGGACCTAGATTCAAGCTTGTATAGATAGGGAAATTCCAGCTTTTGATGGTCCCGTTATTTGGATCCAATCATTAACGAAATTGATCATTCCCAGTCCAGTCGTCATTCCCGGTTCACTCCTTAAACTCGGTAATAGTCAGTCCAACTCACATAGTAAGATCACCTCAAATTGCCTCTCTATAGAACTTAATCGGTCAAGGAATTAGATAAAAGATGCAAGTCTGACCACA